TGTTTTCTTTTGGACTGTTTTCGGTCCCAGATCAGACCAGACCGGACTTTCATAGTTATAAAATACACAGAGACTAGACATTTACCAGATCAGTTCAGACCAGACCAGACCAACAAATTTCAGTCCAAAAGAAAACATCCTATGTATGTAATGCATGCGTGCAGGTATGCATAGACTTATACACACACATATAGACCTGTGTGTGTATATGAATGCTCACGCGAATCATGTATTTGAATGTTCATATGAAAGACCATGCATTTGAAAATAAATGTAGGTCTTTCACCCCTTAAAAATGGATGAATTAGATTAAATGTTCAATAACACATACGGTGGTAGAATCATAAATATGTGAAATTTTAATGTTCAACGGTAATGACACAAAGTGCATTATGGTTTACATATAAGTGTACTTTGTGCATTTAGAGAAATGTTATGACGTTACCCTGTCATGTGTGTTGTGCGTTGTGCATTCTATGTAAGACACTTGTACACATTTATAATGTATAAGTGCACTTTATGTATGCAACAATGCATTTTTGTCACCTTGTTTTTTATTAAAAATCTTCCATATTTACACTCGTGCCATTGTGTTTTAAAAAAAAAATCCAATCTTTTTATTCCATTTTTTCAAAGCAGTGACCCAGAATAATTTTATCTTTCATATAAGAAATACTTTTTGCTTGAATAATTAAAATTAATTTCTTAGACAAGTATTTCTGGTTATTTCTTTGAGAAAAAAGAGTGGGATGAGTTTATAATGGGAGCTTTTAATGAGAACATGAAGTCGAAAGGGATTTGGCATATGCAAACAGTGAAGTTGTCTGCATTGAAACATGTGCATGACTAAATTAGTGCCATACTAGGTAGTAGACATACAGACATGCACTTGTATGCATATAGTGATGCAATTTGTAACATTAACCATTGCTAATTTAGGTCCACATGTTTATGATTATTCTAACACATTGTTCGGAACCAGTGATTTCAGAGAAGATTATAAGAAATATTTGTATATTAAATCTCCTAAGAGATTACAGTAGAAAGTAGAACGCAGAAGAAATCGAAAATGAACAGTAAGGAATTGATAACGAGACAATTTTGAGAGTGTCTCTCTCCCCCAAGTCCAGAGCCTAACCCAATTTCTGCCTACCTTCTCCCTCTTCAATTCCCTCTATTTATTCTTTTCCAAATGAGGCTTCCTTCAATCTATCTAATTACTTGGCCCAGCCCACTATTACATTTTATTAAAATATTTAGCCCAAAAGTCCAGGTCCTATCATCACTCCCCCCTTTGACAACCACCTTGTCCTCAAGGTGGGGAGTAATAGCAGCCGTGCCATCCAGCTTCATCCTTGCGCCTCTTCCTTCCCAATACCTCACTGCTGGCAGACACAAAAGCTTCATGCTTGTTCCTTCAAAATCATCGATGGTGCTGCTGCAGTAGACATGTCGAGTGCAGTTTTATTTGTTGCATTAGCCTTCAAGCACTCACTAACTACAAGTGTTTCCTTGTTTTCATTAGACTCCTCAAGGATTCTCACTTCTGAGACTATGAACGTGCTGGATGCAAATTTGATGTTACTCAAGTTACTCAACTCATTGTCTGTAACAAGCCCTATGCAAACTTCTCCATTTGTAATAGCAGGATTTTTCTTATAAAACTTCAACAGCCAACAGAAGTTGTGCACAACAGTGCTGCCATGCGATTTCAGATTCTCTAACCGCCAAAGTCCCAAGTCTGGCTGGCAAGTTTTCTTCTTTCCTTTCCCCTATAAGCGAGCCAATAGCTCTTGCAGCAACAAAACGAGCTTCAGGGACCGGATCTTGATGAATTTCGGGCAGAATAAGCATGAACATATTGGTTTCCCGATTCTTAAAAGTGATGACCGCACCAAACTCCTTTATTTTATGAACATTTCCTTCAACATTGCTACCAAGAGCAAATTCATCAGTCCATCTCAGCCCAGATTCAGAGGAGTCCTGAATTGCAGAAAATACCAAATTGCAGCCTTCCACATCCAGAACCAAAAACTGGTCAACTTTAAAATCAGGCTTCAAGATAGACTTCATTAATCCAGCCTCATCAATAAGATCAATGGCTGTATCTGGAAAATATCTATCAGGCTTGTATCTAGCTGAAAGTTGCACAGCAGCTGTTATGGCCTCATAAGTATATTTACACTTACGATACTCATCATTCTCACGCAGCCCTGGCAGTATCTGGACAGTATCCTCCTGGCTCTGTTCATGAACCCTTATAGGTTGAAACCCCAGTGATGGCCTTAACAGATTAGCAAATCCAAGTCCAGAACCCATGCTTCCTCTCCCATCTGGGTCAGAATCAATTGGAGTACAGACCTTATCAATAAGAAGAATTATATTTCCATACTTCTTAACCTCTCATAAGTAATGTAGTCACACGAGCCTCCAGTTCACCAGAGAAGTACAAGAATTTCTTCATCACAGTAAGATGCCCCACTAACTCCCTCCTTGGTGCAACCAAATAACATGGTCCTTAGGTGATGGACTAAATTCATCGCAACCTATTTTTGTTATATTCGTACAGGATTTAGTCAAAGGGCGTAAAGCTAACTAAAACCCCATCTGCCTCTTGGGGTATTCAGTATTCTGTGTTATTTGTTTGTTAACCTTCTGTGTTTCATTAGTTTTCTCTCTCTTATGTCTTCTCCCTTCTGTTCTTTTCAATTTCTTTTTGGATCTAAAGGGACTTTTTTTATACAACTGTTGAAACATTCCTTGAATTTATTCATTTGAAATAGCTTTTCTTTACTTCGTTTTTGTGGCTGTAAGAAATAAATGAGAATTTAAGAATTTTTACCTGTCTTAAGAAGCTAAATGACATATTTGTTGGCAACTTTTATTTTCTGTACTTCTGGTCTTCAATCATAAAATCTTCAACCATGTTACTACTCTTAAAAACATTGATTTGTCCCAATTAGTTCTTAAATTTGATATTATCACTCACACATTTTTTATTAAGCTAAATAGTTTCCTTCCACCGTATTCATTCTTAAATCATTCTCTTACCTTTGGTGTAATAAAAATTGTTACCATAAATTCCTAGTTTCACAGTTCTCTCTGTGTCCGTGTGTGTTTCTCCATGTGTGTCTGTGTTTTCTCCTGATGTCTGCTGTGTCTGTATAGCTCTTATGATAACCCAATATGTCACTTAATTTATGCTAAACTCATTTTAGCATGTAGCTGATGTGCTAAACTCAATATTTCCGATCCCAAACTCACTTGAATGTTTTAGTTTAATGTCAACTAGGAAAAACGATACCCCCTCTGTCCCATTAAACTTTCCCAACTTTCCTTATTTAGTCCCAAAAACTTTACCATTTCCTTTTCAAGTAAAAAATCTGTGATCCTTCTCTCTCCTTGGCAGAAATATAACCACACATACTTTCTTACCTTTTCTTTCTTGGTGAAAGTCAACTTTGGTCAAGTTTTATGGGATAAGGGAGTGCTAATGAAATGAAAGAAATTGAAGTGCATATATGACAACAACTAAGAGAAAAGTTTGATCCTATGGGTTTTTTTCCAAACCATCTTTGTGTATATTTATGTCCAATTCTTGTGCATTCCAGTTTCACAATTCAAGCCTTTCTCATTTTGGCTTCTCAAAACTCAAAAGCTTATAGGCTTAAAGTATGATGGGGATTTTCCTATAATGTCACTAAAATAGAATTATTTGGGGAAAATATTATACATATTCACTACTATCAATGCAAAAGTACTACTATAGTTATGCGTATTAAAAGTCATATTTTGTCTATTTTCATAATTTCATTTGTAAAATATTTGTCATTTTTCAATATCATTTGCCCAATGTGTGTTTCAATACCTTGACACTTTGAGTTGAACATAGTTGTCTCCTCCAATATGATTGATGCTTTTCTCTTTCTGCATGAACTCAGTATGGGCTTGATACTACGGAGTTCACATACAATCCATCTGATCCAAACCGCTACCAGCAAACTACCGCACAACCAGTAGCAGAAAAAGGTGGCTGCACCATAATGTAAAAATAAAAGTTGTGTTTGGAGATGGCTTTGATCTTGTGATGATAGTTTGCACAGATCAGAAATTTTAGGCTCAATGATGTGACTGCTGTTTTCCTCTGAACCTGTATGGAGAATTCAAGATTTTTCTTCTCCTTGATTAAAATACATGTATTCTGAGGTGCTTGTTTGGAAGTGTTCAAATATGTTTGATCACTTTGATGTTTCCTCTTGCTCCGTTTTTTTGTTTCCCATATTTTCATATTTTTTGAAGTCTGGAACAAGGAAATGTGATTGGTTATGTTGTTTTTAATTTTATATTATGAAAAAATAGAACTTTGGGAATAATTAGAAACTTGGAGTATGACTGTATGATCTATCAAACAAAACTTTTTCTTGAACTATTATTTTGTGTTAGGAGTAAAATGCATTGCCGTGAAGTCTTTGCGGCACTTAGGTGATGATGACGAGTAAAATGCTCAAATGACTCTTAAACTATTAATATTATATCATTTTGGTTCCTAAACTAATAATCTTTCATTTAGTCTTTATTCTATTTAATCCGTATCAATTCAATCATTCCATCATTTTTAACTGCCAAATTGATGTAATATTCAAGATATTTATATCCAAAAGTTATGTTTGTATAGCAATTTACATTTAAGATATTGAGTATTCAAAAAAAATCCTCGTTAAGAAAAGGGATTGCCCTAAATAGGAATGAATGAAGTTTGTAATTCTAAAATAGGATTACTATATTTTTCTTTTCGAAATAGGAGTTGTTACTGTCATGATTTAAAACCACTGTCATTAGTTATAATAAATACTGTTATCTTAAATGCACTGTAGTGTAAATATTTGGCAGTCACACTTAGAGCATCATCAATCCTCTTATTTTGACGGAATCCAATTTTTGCCAAATGTCAATTGTTTAAAGTTATGTCTATCCACATCATGTATACATTAGAAGAATTAAACAAAACTTCTCCAATGCACAATGTTAACATCTTTAAATATTTATCTATGTGTCATTTAATATTCAATATACATCAAAGAAACTGGATAGACTGCCGCAATTATTATTTGAATCCAAATCCTATTCATACTATACTCTTCCAACCCATATTCAAATTATAAACTGCCGCATGATCAAAGAAGCATATGATCGAACTGTACTCATATTCTTCCAACCTGTATGATCAAAGAGATCACTGCCGCACCATTACTCACTCATATTCATCGATCCGAGAAGAGAAAGAAAAGAAATTTTGCACTATACGAATTAGGTAATTAATAATAATTCATCCATGGTTCTTTTCCATTTAAATCATAAAGTAGTCAATCTATTCATTTAATTTATATCATGTGCATTGCATGCAATTTTAGTGTATATCATTAACCTGTCATATTCATGTGTATATTTTTAAAATCATAGAAAAACATTAAGCATCCAAATCGTTATACTAAAATTATTAGTTTTTTGTAGGTGCTATCAGCCTATCACACACACATATCAAGTAACCTGTGTTAGTTTAGTTTTATTACCAGATAAATTGATTTTGGAATTTCATACTTCCTGAGATAATTATGGACAATGCTCATATTCATTATACACAATATGACTTTATATACCTAAGTTTGTATATTTACACGATCCAGGATATGTCATCACGAGACTCTGAATCTGAATTGAGCTCTCCTAGTGAATCATCAAGCACAGAATCACTGACCCTTACCAAGACATTTTGGACAGATGGTGGTTTTGATGAAGAATCAAACTCCTTTGTGGTTCAAACCGGGGCAGTTCAGGTTCCAATTGTACTTTCTTCATTTTTAGCAGGTAATAAATGCCCACATGGGGGCTCAACAATTGGTAGGGAATACATTCGCCGTGATAGGAAAGATCGTCATGAGTTAATTAAAAAAGACTACTTTAGTGGTGACAAGTCAAAGTACACCGCTGATAAATTTCGTCGCCGCTTTCGCATGGATATTGAGCTTTTCGAGAGAATTTTGCATGCGGTAGAGAATTATGACAATTACTTTACACAAAAGGTTGATGCAGTTGGAAACATAGGATTGAGTCCTTTACAAAAATGTGTAGCAGCGATATGAATGCTTGCATACGGCTGTTCAGCAGATTCCCTTGATGAATATGTTCAAATTGGAGAAAGTACTGCAATTGAATGTTTGAAAAAAATTTGTGATGCTATAATAGGATTGTTTGAAGAAAAATATATGAGAAAACCAAATAAATCAGATGTTGCAAGTCTGTTAGAAGAAAGTGAAGCTCGGGGGTTTCCGGGAATGCTCGGTAGTCTAGATTGTATGCATTGGCACTGGAAAAATTGTTCGACTGCTTGGCATGGAACTTTTACTAATGGGTTCAAAAAAGTTCCAACTCTTATTCTAGAGATTGTTGCTTCACATAGTTTATGAATTTGGCATGCATTCTTTGGTATGGCAGGTACAAATAATGATGTGAATGTTCTCGATAGATCTCCTCTATTTGATGACCTAGTCAATGATATTGCACCAAAATGTGATTTTGTGATACAAGGTCATCACTAAAATATGAGTTATTATCTATCTGATGGTATCTATCCACAATATGCCACATTAATCCAAACAATCTCACAACCAACTTCTATGAAGGAGAAGCTATTTGCAAAATGTCAAGAATCTATTCGGAAGGATGTGGAACGAGCATTTGGAGTCTTACAAAGTCGTTGGCATATAGTAAAAGGTCCTGCTCGTATGTGGAGTGTAACTGACTTGGGAAAAATAATGAAAACATGTATCATCTTGCACAATATGATTATTGAAAGTGAGGTTGACCAAGGCATCAACCCTGAAAATTGGCAACCAGAAAGTGAAGAAGCAGTTGAAAGTGTTACTCTGGAGCATGATTTTACGTATCTTGTATCAAGGATAAACAATAGAATGAAACAAATACAAGACAAGAGAGTGCGTAAAGATCTGAAACGTGATCTTATCAACCACTTATGGGAAGTTTATGGTGGTCAGAGAGAAGATTGAAGTATCTTTAAGTTGTTGAGTTAATTATTGTCTTTGACTAATTATTTTGAGTTTGTCTTTTTATTATGATTTGATGGAATAATCTATATATTTAAAGTATACATGCTTTTAGATGCTTTATGTATTAGACAGATTGTCTATTTATGCAAATTCTGCACCAGGTATGACTTTGGAAACATAGTTGGGTTTCTCCAGGCCCCATAATATTATCAACTCTTTGGGTCTTTTTCTGTAAACTCAGAGCATCTGTAATCCTGATTAACAAACAGCAGATCCAGAAACCCAAAATTCGAAAGGAAAAAGCTAATATGCCAATAATAGTTATGGAGCACAAGTTTATGATAACTAAAGAACCACTACAGTCATGGCTACGATGAAGGAACGTACTCATAATGTAATGTATTCAAATTAAAACTACGAGACAAACTGAATGCTATAAGTGTTCAAAACAAATAAAAAAACATTAAAACTGGAAAGAAAGGAAAAAATCCTTGATTAAATAGAGTCTGCATGAGATAATGAAACCCAAATCTTCAAACTTTGTGACTTTCAAGTGCAACCTGCAAGTGATGAAAAGATAACACTATAGATTAGTTTAAATAATGGAGCTATTCTCATAGATTATTAACAAAATAAATTAAGATAAAAAAGCATTAATATAATATCAGTACTTACTTTGTAGACTAGAAAATACCAGCACTTTCCCATTCTTTCAAAATTTTTGCCTGCATAACACCATAAGAAGCTCTAACTGATGGTGACAGTTTACTAAGATCCTGATTCATAATGCGAAGTTGGTGTTGCCTCCTTTGATTTTCTTCTCTTAGCCTTTGAGCATTTTCTTTTAATTCAATTTCTTTCATCATCACTTGCTCTCTCATTTGCATGCTTGCTTGATTAATATCAATTTGTTTCTCCAAAGTGGTCTGCAGCTTATTCAAGGCATCCACCACGTCTTTTCCTTCATGTAGCCTTCGCTTTTTGGCTTTGCAATTTTTTCTTCCTTCTGGTCTCACAATCCCGTCTAGTTCACTGCCATTTGGTGGCAAGACATCTTCAGGCATAGCAGTTGAGGACTCATTCAATGTTGGTGGAATACCATTATCTGAACCTTGTCCAATTGGTGCACTTGTCTTTGTACGAAATTGTGAGCACCATTTTGGATTCTTGATCAATATTTCCCAACAATGAAGAAATTTGAATGGAGTTGCATAGAAATCCTCATATAAGCGTAATGCTTTTACCACCTATTTGAAATATATCATGAGCATAATAACTCACACTTAAAAACAAATTCATGCAATGTTTTACATTTTAAAATTTTGCTCATTTTATATAAAATTATTAATCCACCTTTCCTGCAAGAGCATTTAAAAAATATGTCATAATAAGTAATACAATACGAAAAGAATCTTACCAAGTCATCCTTATTTGTGCCACTTTGTGGGTGTCGTTCCAACTGCTGATATTTTGCAACAAATTTATTTACGACACCTCGTATTTGGTGCCAATGACATTGAAAGCTGTTATTGCTTCTTGCTATCTTGTGATGTGGCCCCATTTTTTCCTTCCAAATTTCTAAGACACGGTTCCACATGGCAGCATTTTTCTAGTTATTACCCACATCAGCATCCACAGAAACATAAAGCCATGCCTCTGATAGTGCAACCTCCTCTTCGACAGACCAATCTTTTTTGATAATTGAAGGTTGAGGCATACAATTTTGAGAAGTATTAGAATTGTGGGCATCTTTAACTCTCTTTTTTGATTTCTTGCTGGTCTCACAACTTTGAGAGCTCAAGATGGGTGTATTCAACAATTCTTGGTAGGGGAATGGATGTGTGTTATGCTGCTCAACATGGAAAGGAAAAGCTCCATTTTTTGGATCAATTTGATAGAGTGGTGGAGTAAATTGATTCAAATTGTTTGACGGGAAAGAGTAGCCAGGAGCGTTCAATTGATTCACATTCATTGGCGGCATGGAGTAACCCAGAGGTTGTCTCGTGTTCGTAAACTCAGTTGAGTCTTGTGAATCCATTTATGCTACTTTGACAAATAAGCATTAGATATACCAAAATATCAAAATGAATAAATCAAACATTGCAATAACAAGTTTGTAGTTCTTACTGGAAGGAAAAACTCAAATCCATAGGCACCCTCACTATTTAATATACTAAAATTCATCAAACTAAATAATAACAGATAATGCAAATAGTCTTATAAATAAAAAATTATTAATCCAGAATAATAGCAAGTACTTTAAGACTAAAGCAGAGCTATAATAATTTAATATAAACTGAAAAACATTGCAGCTAGAATAGAATGCATTCTTTAATTTCTAATTCGTATTTTACAAAGTTTTAGCAATGGGACAATTTTACAAACTTATCTGAATGACCCCTTTCATATGGTGGCAAAACTTTACACACATTTTAATTTTTCATCAATGATTAATAAGAATAAAGCTATATTAATCACTGCAATGTTCTAAGGTATGCTTTTGAAATAAAACGTGTCACATGGTAGAAGTATTCTTTTCACTACTTGAGATCAAAACTCCATCCAACCGCACTTAAAATTAAAAGTAAAACAGAAATGGAATAAAGAAACATCAGCTTTGTAACAAATACAAGAAGTAATTAGTCTTCTAAATAAAAGTAAATAATTGCCAGATGCCCATAGGCTCTTACCTTCGAATGTTTCTGAACTAAAGAATATTAGTTGTTCAAAGCATCATTGCACTGATGGCAAAACTTATCACATATTTATAAGAATAAAGTTTTGTATCATCAATTATTAAAAACGTCCCTGACAAGTATACTTCAAAGATGCTGCTTGCGGCAATTGATGATACCCATATAAAATCATACGATCTCCTCTATTTCCCAAACAATTTCATGAATAAAATTATGTATATGACAACAAATTAACAAGGACATGCGTGGTTTATGAATACAAGCATTGAGGTTTTCGAAAGTTCATAACAAGGACATGCGTGGGGAGAATTTACCTCTCAAGAAAGGATTTCCACCGGATGAGAACCACCGCCGACGGAAGATCTGTATTTGGCAGAATACTTGACGGTAGAGCAAGGGTTGAGAGTGATGAAGATAAAATATGATGAGGTGTGCGGTAAATATGGAGTGCCGCGAACTTTTTCAGAGTTGCCGCTTATTTTTTCGAAGTGTCCGCTTGTTGTAGGACTTGCTGAGTCACGCTTAAACGCACTTTGGGAATTCCAACAGTGGCTTTGACAGCATTGAATCCATATCAACATTAAAGAGCTCGTGACAGAGTGCATTGGAGACAAAATTCCTACCATTCTTTCTAAATTACAGACGTGGCATTAAAGAGCTTGTGTCAAAAGAAGGCCATTGGAGATGCTCTTATAAGATGACAATAAATGATGCAATGTTAGTCCTATTTTAGGAATAAAACATAGTAATCCTATTTTTGAATTCCAAACTCCATTACTCATATTTTGAGAAATCTCCCTTAAGAAAAAAGTCAAAAGAATTTTTATGGTGTAAGCAACTTGTCCTGTCATAAATTTTAGAAAAAGGATCAAATAAGGCCACTCACTATTTCTAAACCATCACTTAGAACCTTCTACTTGAATGAGTGTCATTTACATTCATCTACACCTAAAAAACCGTCATTTAAGACCATAGACCTGACCTGATTTAGCAGGTTCTTTGCTGATGTGGTATTTTATATATTTCTTTAAGTTTTCTTTTCTTTTAGTTTTACTTTTTCTTCATTATTTTCATTTCATCTTTAATTTTTTCTTTCTGGGTCTGCACGAGTTCCTATATCCTACAACCGGATGTACGTACATCCAGCTCAATTAACAAAACAGTCCACTAACTAGTACAACCCATAATAAAAGGCCCATTTTAATCTGTTGCTCTAACCATGCTTTAACCCGGCCAATAACTTCATTCGTTTATGTCCCGCATCTTCCACTCAACATTCCTTCTTCTTTAATTCATATTTCTTTTTTTTCTCTTATATCTATAATTCTTAAACTACCTGGAGATTCTAAAATTGAATGTTAGTTCCAAAAACCTTAAGTAAGGTACAATTTGATTCAAAACATACATCTTCATCTCTCATTAACAATGATTCAATTTTCTAAATTGACTCATAATATGAATGCACATCAACTGTTTGAAAAAATGACAAAGTGAATGTTAATTTCTTTTTTGATCAAATATTTTATCACTTATTGCACTTATATAAAATACTGAGATATACATTATTTTTTGAGAATATTTCTTGTTATGGTTAGAATTTAACTTTATTCTGCTTTTACAATTTTAACGAGTTTTAGATGTTTTTTTGTTATGCATTGAATTTGATGTTTAAAGAATTTGTAAAATGATTGAGATATACTTTTCCAGTATGTTAATTTTTTGTAAAAAAATAGTAAACTTCATTAATTTATTAATTAAAATTTAATGTGTTTAGTTATTACGTGTGTAATATGGGAATGAGTATTTTGTTAAATTAAAATGAGTATAATGTGTAGAGCAAATGTGCATAGGTGTAACATTATAAAATAAATATAATAAAGTTTGTAATTCTAGAATAAGAATTTGAAAAATTGTTATATATCTAATGGCTAAATCTAACGATAGTCTAACAAATGAATGTAATTAGATTTGTGGATTGTGCATAGAAATGAGTTTTATACTATATTTAAATGATTATAATGTTTAAAAGAAATGAGCATCGATATGAAATTATAAAATGATCAAAAAACGATTTCATATGAGTATGCCGTAACAATTATATACAACAATCTGCATTAATATAGCATTTTAAAATGAACACAACTAGCTAGCGAATGAAAATATGATACTTATGATATGTGCAGTAATATGACATTTTGAAATGAGCAAAACACAAATACTGAATGAGCATAAATAACTTTAAAATGATCATATTGTTCATTATTATATGCTCATTTTATATCTCTGTCGTGCTCGTCTTTTAAAGTCATATCAATATTCATTTGGTTTAAACCTCATTCAGTATATCATAAAACTCATTTTTATAATCCACACATGTAATATATTCACTCGATTAGATTCATTTACTAAATTATTCATATTCATGCATATTGGTGTAACGCTTATTTTGAACTTTTTGCTACTCATTTCACACGTAATGTATTCACATTTAATATTTGAGCATACTCATTTAACACGGTTCCTGCTAAATGAGCAATAGTCTACTTTTAGTGAGCATAGGACCTATTTTATTGAGTATTAGGAGGCTAACAATGAGTTTCACGATCTTTGCTTCATATATTCTAATTCTCTTTCTTTTTCTTATTTTTTATTTTATAAAAACTTATTAAATTATATCTATAATCCAGTCTTATTAATTTCAATATGCGAGTCTATTATAATATGATACTTTTGAAATATGCATTGATATGAATTGTAAAAATGAGCATTACATTAGTACCAAATGAGTAATAATGAACTTTTAATGAGCATCAAACCTTTTATATTGAGAATTAGGAGTCCAATATTCAGAATCATGATCTCTGCTTCATCACTTCTAATTCACTTTTTTTTTAATATAAAAACTTATTACATTATCTTTATAATCAACTCCTATGAATTCCAATATGTGAATGTAATTTAGAATAGTACTTTTAAAAATGCATTGATATGACATTTACAAAATGAGCATAAAATCAGTACTTGATGAGCATATGTAACTTACAAAATGAGTATTAATGAATTTTTTAGTTGTTTTGTTAGTTGAACATCACAACATTTTAATTGAGCAATATTGAAATGAAATTCACGGTTTCTGCTGAATGAGCATTAATGAACTTTTAATGAGCACCAGACCTATTATATTGAGTATTAGAAGTCTAATATTCAGAATCGTGATCTCTGCTTCATAAAAAATGAGCATAATATCAGTATCGATTGAGCATATGTAGCTTACAAAATAAGCATTAATATGTTGAGCATACAGACATTTTTCATCGAGCATTAAACCTCCTCTACTGAGTATTAAAAGCGTGCAATTGAGTACCGATTGAGCATCAAGACGTTTTTATTGAGTTCAAATCGCCTCTATCGAGTATTAAAACATGCAATTGAATATCATGATCTGTGTCTTCATATATGTAATTAAATCCAACTTGAATCTAATGTAATTTGCTACTTTTGAAATATGTATTGATATAACATTTTAATATGAGTATCACATCAGTACCAAATGAGCATACATATAATGCATAAATTAAAAAAAAATCTAAATTAGAAGGTTGATTGGAAAAAGAAGAAAAAACAAACTAAACTTTAACCATATTTTAGATTATAAATTTGCATAATAATTCAATAAAAAATTAAAGCATGTGAAAGAAAAAAATAAAGAAAAGAAAGAACTAAAAAGAGAAAACAACAAAAGAAATGAAACTAAAAATCAACCAAAAAGTGAAAAGCAAGAAACTGAAAAGAAAATAGCTTCCATCCAACAAAAAGAGAAACCCGTATTCCTTTTGAGAGGAGTAAAAAAGTGAAAAGCAAGAAAACGAAAAACAAGACAGAGGAGTAAAGCCGTAGCAACCCGTATTCCTTTTCAGCCGGACTCCCAGCTAACAACGAGCAAATAGCTTCGATCGGAACTCCAGGTCGAACTTGAGCAAGCGAGCAGTACTGATCGGTGCCTCCTTCAACAGCTCCCAGGACATCAGCGAGCAACACAGCAGGGAAGATTTTATCATTGGAATTCTAATTAATTGCAAAAATACCCGACTGTACCATGCCTTAGGTACAGCCGGTTGTACGATAGTATTTACCGGTCTGCACGGCCTTCTTAAGCAACTCCATCAACGATCCTATTGAGATTGATAATCTGGGAATGGAGAAGCTTGTGAAAATAATCAAACATCTCCTTCCAACACCATTTTTTCCTTCCAAGATTTCAGTTTCTTACTCTTGGACTGAATTTCGGGCCATTCTTTTTCAATTTCCGCCATTGTCATCATTTTCGCTGCTCTCAGAAACTACAATCTTGTCGGACTTTGTTTCTACTATTCCATATTCTCAGATGAAATTTTTTAAGTCATGGTATCGGGGACCTCATGTGTTGGGTCCGCCGCCGATGAATTGGTCAAGGGGCACAAATCAACTACTAGAATGAATAAAAAAACAATGTTTGCTTTTAAATTGCAACTTTAGGTAGAATAGAGATCAAATACAAACCATACTTAATTTAAAAAATACAAATTTATATTGGTCTTCCGATTAGTTGATCTAAAGGATATAAAGGCAAGGTGACATTTTTGTAATAAAACCTAACTTTTCTAGGATGCAACTCGTTGAACGTTAATGTGCAACTGCTATTTTATGACTATATAATATGCAACACTCTGAATCTCAATATGCAATGCAAATAACGTCAAGGTGCATCATACAAACATTTGCACAATAAGCACATTTTGTACTTGATCTTTCCCCCTTTAGGTATATATATGATATGATGCTAGATATGTATGAAGGGGTTAAGGAAATGGGGTTTAGTGCACCAACCCCCCGTGATATAAAAATTCATCGCATTAATCCTTTGTGATTTGAAAAATGCGTCAAATCCCCTTGTGTTTTAATTAATTATGGTCAAAATCCCTTCTGTGAACAAATCCGATTGTCAAATAAAAGAAAATTGATTAACATTTATGTATGATCATAGATTTTGACATATTTACTTGTATATTCAATCAGAATATTAGGAAAAGTGATTTCCAAACCATTAAATTTATTCATAAAAGGGGTTTTGTGCATGATTAATTAAAACACAAAGGGATTTGATGCATTTTTCAAATCACAGAGGGCTAATGCGCTGAATTTCTATATCACGAGTGGATTTGATACATTAAACCCTAAGGAAATGGGATGAGAGGAAAAAGAAAATTAAAGGAAAACAGAAAAAAAAATTAAAAGAAAAAGGAATCCGGAAGAAAACTGAAAAAAAATGACACCTAAGCAAGAGACTTGCTACAACAAGTCACCATCCGGTCATTGGTCTTAAATGATACGTAGTAGATTTTTATATGTAGATAGACATAATTGACACTTATTTAAGTACATGGGCCTATGTGATGGTTTGAAGATAGTAGTAAGTGACCTTATTTGACCCTTTTCTCTAAATTTTATTATAAAAACCTTCCGTCTAATAGTAGTAATCACAACAATAATAGTAACAATAACATTCCTTATTTAGTTGCCTTATTTAGTTTTGTTTGCATGTTTTTGTATAGCTCAAAAACATACAAAAATGTTTGATGTTTGATTTTTGTATAGTTACTATACAAAAATAGTAACAATACTTATTTAGTTTAAATGATTGATTCTCTTTTAAGATCGTACATATCCTACCTCCTTGGGTTTTTCCCTCAATTAAGTTCAAAGATTTATTTTTCCAATCAAACTTTAGAAACTTTGAGTGCTAATTATTCAAAATTTACATTGTTATGGCACAAAAACTTAATTTTATATATTTCATTTCAATATATATTATTCACGTATTAATTCATTACAGGTTTTAAGAGTAGGTTTTTAGATATTTAGGGTCAAATGTTCACCTAGAAGACTGTAAAAATCAAAATGAGAACTTAATTGTGGGACGGATGAAATATTATTATTTTTATATATATTGACAGCAGGTGAAACATATTATCATGTGAACAGTCACATTCATAACAACTTATATCCGTAGTATAAATCATCAACCATGTGTAAAAAAAGGCAAAAAGAGCTTTAAATAATACTATCGTATTATGTTTTTCCTATTTTATGTGTCGTGTTTTGGTTTGAAACAATTATTAATAAAATGTTTGAAGAAATAAAAGTTATGGTTGAGATTAGAGTATAATAAAGTAACATGTTTGTGAATCATATACTAGTATTATTTCCCAGAAAGGGATATAATACTTATTTTGGGACAACTAAAAAAGAAATGTAAAACAGGTAAAATTAGATGGAGGGGGTATCAAAGATCACCCCTAAGTAATAACAAATGATTTCTAATAATACCAACTATCTAAGTATACTCCGTATATAACAAAAATAACATGAAACCGCTTTTCAATAAGAAATTTAGTCATTTAAGACATCAAAAACATATATCAAACCATTAATTTAATGATATTTGCAAATATCATCACTTATTTGATATTTTGATATTAGTTTTTGATGAGTTAAATGACCGCATTTTTAGTGGAAAACTACTCTATATCACTTATGTTATACGAAGTATATTATTAAAATTTATTGCTAAAGTAAGTATTATTCTTGGTTCATGGAAGATAACTTGTATTACCTCCGACCCAAATTGTTTTGCAATGTCTATATTTTTTTGTCAATCAATGTTAAAGTTAAATCATTCTTATTGATAATAAAATCAATTTTAATAATTTGAAAAATTCGAAATAAAAAAATTAAATAAGAATTGATATCCTAATTAAGTGAATAAAATGAGCTATTTGACCCAAAAATTCAATTTTGTAACTCAATTTGAAAAGAAGGAAGTATTATTTAAAATTACTTTCCCAAACAATAATACATGGGAAGAAGGTGTATTTAACGAATTCGGAGTAACTGAATTGAATGATCATGTCCATTTTATGTTGTGGACTTCATGTAAGTAGAAAGGGTAGGTTTAGCTCCAACTCCACTTTCTAGAGGAAAACTAGGGACTGCTTACTTTCGACTTAATGGTTTTAATGAGAATAACGATTTAATCATTCAACAATTAAGTCAAGTCTACCTAGGACTTAATTGAAAGCATAACTTAATCATTCAGTCAAAAATTGACTCAATCACTCAACTGGAAAACAATAGTCCTTCCCATTAACGTGTTTTCTCTGTCATTTTTTAAAGTCAATTGTGGAATAGGTTGATGCTAATAAAATAAGTTTTCATTGATATTATAACTCAAGAATAATACCATATATCGATTACTTGACTCAATTAAGACGGTTTATTTACCACACTAAATAAACATCCTCATTTATAAATACCACTTAATCCAAAAATGTTTTAATTCAGATAGACATTTTAACCCAAACATGACTTAATAGAAAGAGAAAAAAAAAACTAAACAGCCCAAAGTTTAGTGCTTAGTGCTTCAAGTTCTCGAGCTTCACTAGCCCAAAGCATTTTTGGGTGATGAAAGTCCATGATGGGGGGAGTCCGGATGGGGGGTCCGGATTTCTGGTCAGTGAATATCTCGTTGAAAAATACTTCAATAAATTCTACGAATCCAGGATTAGTGCTGGACTCGGGCCGGGCGGCCCGGCCCGGAACCGGCCCGGCCCGGTTACTGTTAGGCCCAGCCCGGCCCGGCCCGGGGCCCGGTGGGTCCACCGGTTCGGTTCGGCCCGGCCCGGCTGCTGGGCGGTTCGGGCCCGGGCCCAGGTTTTGGTGAACCGGCCCGGCCGGTTCGGGCCCGGTCCGGGCCGGATTTTAATTTTTTTTTTTTTTTTTTTTGAAATTTTTTTAAGTTTTAGGTTGGATTAGGTATTTTGGGCCATTTGAGGTGGTTTGGGATGGTTTGGGGTTGAGGGGGAGGGGTAGGGGATTAAATAGGAGACCAAAAAAAAAAAAAATTAAGTGGGCCGGTTCGGCCCGGCCCGGCCCGGCCCGGTTTGGCCCGGAACCGGAACCGGAACCGCCCACCGGCGGTTCGGGCCCGGGCCCTAGTTTTCTGGCCCGAGGCCCGGCCGGGCCCAGGCCCGAACCGGGCCCGAACCGGCCCGAGTCCAGCCATATCCAGGATACTCACAAAGTACGACATTTTATCCATGTGGGTCAATTAAAATATTTCAATTGAGTAACTCAAAAATAAATACATGATAAAATAATCACTTGGGTCAATCAAATGCATTGTACAAATAAATACACTACGGTTCCGGATTAATCACTGCTATTGGGAAACTAATATGGTTGCTCATAGGATGGCTTTGGAAGGACTCAGCTTCACCCGTTTCCTCTTAGTCAAGACACTTCTCCTATTAGATATAGATGCCCTTCCTACTTTGCGTGTCTGATATTTTGTTGTCTTTATAGCTTATCTATTTCTTATTGTTTTATATGTTGATCGCTAAAGTTTTTCTCTTTATCTTTTTTTTTTGCATTAATGTATTTGTCGGGAGGTATGCCTCCCCGTAGAGGTTTTGCCGTTGTGGTTTAGGTCCCCCCTCTGGTTCTGTATGTTTCTATATTTTTCAATAAAACATTGGCAGATGTTTCCCGACATCTACCCTATTGATTTTGGTGGTTTGCCTACCGGGTTTTAAAAAAAAAGACTTGTAAACCCTTTTCACAAGCTGCAGTTATATAAAATATGGTAAACATCCAAACAAATAAAAAAGGCACAGAAAACGCACCAAGGAGCATCCAGCACACGAAGTTCACACAGTAAGCTAAAGCATAAACATTTACATGATCATCAAATTAAAACAAAATTAACTGGACATTCATGAGTCATGAGACTCATGACCTTGAGAAGATAGGAAAGATTAACATCATAGGCTGAACACAGTGTATTTCCTTCAAAAATGAAAAAGAACTTCTTAAACCAACTTTTCTTAGCTGTGAGTCTGTGATTCAAAAAGTACTTCAATATTTGCGCTTTAATATACAAACACCAAAGGCGTGCAATTTCACGACCGCTAAATTTGTCATTCTTGTGCATTGTGTGCATCAATAATTATAAAATGGGAGTTTGACGCATTTTCTGAATGATGAATGGCCAATGCACATATTTTTTTTATATAAGAGGGCGCTCGCGTGTGAAACGAAATGCAAACTTGAAACAAAAACATGTGCAACATTAATTATACAATGGGGGTTTGACGCATTTTTTGAATGAAGAATGGCCATTGCGCATAAATTTTATACACGAGGGCGCTCACACATGAAACCAAAAAACAGAGTATTCAATACTCGTCAAGTTCAGGAATATAATGGTGATGTAAGTCTACTTTCTTTGTATCTGTTTTACAAAAATAACCATGATGTTTTGTGCAGATGATCAAAAATCCCAATTTTCATGTATACTTACTCTCCCAAGTCCCAAATAAGTATACATGTGGGAATAAGAAGATTTAGCTGGGCTTTAGTTCTTTACATTTCAATGTGAAGAATCTCTTCCAAAATGTCAGGCAAAGGCCATAAAGAATAGACAGAGAGAATACAGATCAGCGAGATAATTTAATCAGTGGGTTTATCATGTGGTGAGTGCTTACTGTTAGAGCCAGTAGCAGCTGACAAACTTCCATGCTCTTCAGACTCAACGAGCTTGCGGAGTTGCTCTTGAAGAGCTCGGACCCTATCTTCTTTTCTGCGGAGTTTCATCCCTCTATAGACAAGCCATACGCCAAAACCCCCGTACACAGCAATATATGAACCCCAGACATAAGGGTAAGTTTCTGCATTCTCTTTTATCTTGTTGTACTGCGCTTGAATCTTCCCCACCCAACTTGTACTATTAAATGGGCTTGTCTCTTGCATCCCCAGAGATCTTGATTGTTTATCATCTTCTTCTCCTATTCTCTGACTACCCATAGTCTTACTCTTAACAAGTACTGCTTCTACCTCTTCAAATTGAATATGGAATGTCCAACTTTAAGTAGCTTTGCTGTATCAGAAACAAGAAAATTAAATTCCAGGACCAACTTGTAGCAGAATGATACCAATGTATCTCATTAGTTCTAATCGCAACAATGTATAATATGAACAATATTTTTAATGCACAAATACACTTTACGAAATTGTGGAAGTGACAAACTTAAGAATTCAATTGATAGCTTGAAACTTACTTAAGGTAACAGTAAAATATATTTAATGCTCACTTCATGCAAAAAAAATAAATTGCTCAAGTGTAGACAAAACAATATACTGCAAAAGTCCACATTAAAGATACTATTATAGACGGAGTATAAGATAGCAATAGGCCAATAGTAGTGATAACAACTAGATATGGCTTTAAGTAGAGTAATCAATTCATAAAGCTCTGCTTGGATATTATGATAAATAATTCGATTCACTTCCATTGAAATTATTAGCCTCAGTCAAGTGAGGTGAACCACTCGTCCCGCTCATCCAGTGTTGAATGTCACACATAATGTTTTCTTGTTTAATTCACTCAAACCTAAACAAAGTTATAACAAATTCATGCAAAAGATAATATTAACATATTCTCCAAAAAACATTTTAAGAGTTAAGATTCTAACTCAAGTGAATCCATTCTCTGAATTATGACCTACTTTAACCTATTGGCAAACAGATTATCGACCAACCCAATCAATGGGCATAACTACTTGGGCCGTCAAACTAACAAGTAATGGTGTTAAGAAGTTTATCCCATTCAGTATGAATGAATATGGGGAAGAAGATGAGCAAAAGTACAGACTCTATGCTGAAGAGATCAACCACACGAGCAATGCCCCAGGGCAACCAAAATTTGCACAACATGTTTTCTCTAAATCACATGATTGTGAAAATATGAAGATATTAGTGAAAAATTTCAAGTAGCTAAAACTACATCAAAGGTGAATGGTGAGTGAACACTGTTCTTATACACAATCAAATCAAAATATGTACTTTACAATTCAAAATTTTAAAATATAACAGAATCAAGAAACAACAAAACCTAAAAAGAACTAAATCATGAATCAGAAAAACTGAAGAGAACATTTGTCACTGGTGAAGAAGGGTAAGAGCAAACAAGTTACCTCCGCGAATGGCGCAAGTGAGGAGCTTTAGCTATGGCACAGTGAGGGTTGGTGAAGAGCCTTGGAAGCCTGGTTTATTGACCTCTTCTTGACTGAAGCCTTGGGAGCTGCCACTGGCCGACAATGAAGTTTTGGGCTTTTAGAGCATCCCCAATGGGATGTCTACTTTCTTTACACACTCTTACACATGGCCCCATTTTTTATCTCACAAATTTTATGTGTAGGACCTACATATCTTCACATTTATTTTATTTTTCATTTTTCTATATCACTTTTAACACACTTTTCATCCACATTCACTCATCGATTCCCGTGTAAAGTCTATTTGTGGACATTGTCATAGACATTCTCTACAATTTACTCCTATCTCTCTCTTCCTTTTTCATTTCTCATACACACCACTTTCTCCATATTAAATTAAAATAATCATTCTATCTCTATCTCTCTCCTATGCCACGTAGGATAGACATTACTCACATCCACTATCCCATTGGGGATGCTCTTAAAGCTCGCGATTGACCTCTTCAAAAGCTTCTGCTATAAGCCTTGTCCCCTAGAGTGAGTTTGGTGAACATGTTTTTCCAAAGCTTATCTAACATTTTTCACCAAATTTTTGCTTTCGCGTACCAAATTTTTGCTTTCGCGCACCATTTTAGCTATTTTAAATACGGAGTATAATTTTTTCTTTATTTTATTAATAAAATATACTACTATTTTAAAAATAATGTTTTCTTAAATTAACAGAATCAGCCAATATAGTCACTTCAGCCAGAACCTCATAAATTTTAGCATAATCGGCCAAATCAACCGATTTTCATGCTACCAAACGGGCTCTTAAACTTTTTGTTTACTACTCCGTATTTAACTATTTTAACATAAGGATGGTTGAATTCTTTGCAAGAACAAAAAAAAATGGTTTTTCAATTTTTGACCTAAAATGAGTATTTTCAACTATCATTTTCTCAGAAAAACTAATAAACGACTTTTGGTGAAAGGGATGTAATATTTGGGAAAAGAGATTAGCTGGAAAGCTTGAGATGCTTTGTGTAGACCCAAGGCAGACGATGGGTTGGGTTTCAGACGGATTAGAGAGTTTAATGTTGTTATGTTAGCAAAACAAGCTTGTCAATTAACATTTGATAAAACTAGTTTGATGGGAAGAATTTTTAAAGTCCGTTACTATCCAGATACTTTGTTTCTGGACGCAAGGTTAGAAGTTAATTCTCCCTTTATATGGAGAAGTATTGTAACACCCTACCCGAACCGGCCCCACCGTCCCGAGCGGTGTGTCACGTGGCAGGAGTCAAAACGGATTTAACCAAAAGACTTTTAATTTTTTTTTTTAAAACAGAATTTAGTATTTAAATAACTCATTGTTATTCAAACGTTAACTTATTATTTGATACCTGAAATATCAAATCGCCACAAATCACTTAATATTATTCAGCACAAAATATTTTAAAGATATGCGGAAGCGTTTACAAAACGAAAATGATCAGATAAGTTTAAAGTCCAACTTGCTTCTTATTTGTTTATTTATGAACAATACACACATGATATGCACATGAATCCTATGCCTCCTTCCATCCCAGCATCCTTATCTTAGCTGAATCTCTTCAACCTACGGGTAGGAAAAACAAACAACTACCCGCTCAGCAATGTGCTGAGTGGTACGGTACAAATAATAATAGCAATAATCATAACAATAATGATGATAATAATAATCACATATTAAATCAAATAGCAACATAGCATAATTAGCATCTAGTCAAGCAAACATATGACATACCTGAGTGAGCCGAATAACTGTTATGAGAATCAAAATATTCATATACAGATCAGAAGCATATTCAGATATCCTAAGTATCAGATAATCTTTATTGTGGGAATATTTTTTTTTTGTGTGTACCGAACAGAAACATATCAAGATATCATATTTATCAGATAATACTTATTCTGAAACTGATCATTAATAAAAACATATTCATTTAGCCTTAAACTCAAGAAACTGGACCTAGACAGCGGAATACTAACGGTAAGGAATACAGTCACGAAGTCTGTACCCACATTACCCAGAAAGGATGTGGAAACGTAATCGCCGGGGCTACACGTACCAATCCCTAACAGAAGCTAGCTGAACAGAAAGGACGAGATCACCGAAGAGACTCGAACCTTAACAGAAGAGTAATAGTGTTCTAAAAAGATTTCAGGAGTGTACATAGTACACTAAACAGGAGAACACTAATTCCTCTAAGACAGAATTTCAGGAGTGTACATAGTACACTAAACAGACATATCAGAAGTATTCTCGTCAGAGTGCCGGATCAAGAGTAAGGCATTTAGGAAACATTTCTTTTTATTTTCTTTAGTTTGTTTACAATAAGAATATCGAGTTTAATATATCTTACATTAGGGACATTTTCAGATTTCAAGAATTATACATAAATCTTTACTGGATTCAACAAAGAATTATTTATTTGCTTATATAATCTAAGCAGCGTATTTTATTTATACATAAAATATACCGTATAACTTAATATATGCCTAATCATTACTTTGGTTTATAACTAAACTTATTATAAAATCAATTCTTAACTTATTTTTTTTATTTACGTAGAAAGTAATTATACATGCTTAATTGGTATGCTAATTTTAGTCCATAATTGCATATACACATTTTTAAATATAAAGTACCTAGCTACGTGTAGCTTAGCCAAACTAGTTAATTCATGAATTAAATATAAGCATTACACGTTTTATCACACTTTACAAGTATGTCTACGTATTTTTAGCTAAGTCGGTTACTGTTAGTACTCCTAATAATTTCCATGAACCACAACTTTGATAAGTAATTAGTTATACTAAACTTTTAGGCTACACTTTTGACCGATTATAGAACACCACTTATATACATACGGAGTAATATAAATCTAAACTAATATACATGTTTATGTCACTTTATTTTTACCAGGATCCCTTATATGTACTTGGAGATATCCACATGTAAAGTATATTTGTGTATACATATCTAAAATAAATCTTAATACTACATATATGTTAATCGTACCTATCATATATAGAAATACATACATACACATGCATACTTTATATTCCGTAATATGTAAAATGTAAGCATTGCCTAAAATTATATGCTAGCACTACCTCTACATAATATATGTATGTTCGGTTTCTTTATACCTATGCATGTTTTTATACCACATTAATGTGTCAAAATACATTCTGGAAAATGTCCTTTAATGTTTAGGATTTATTTCCACTACTCTTAACTTCTATTCTATATCTTTAGTCGGTACAAAAGATAATGTTGAGTATGTGGTTTTGTTGATGACTAACCATGCAGATGGAACGGGGGACAGAACCGACTACGGAGAGTTCTAATATGAACTCTGGACAGAACAGTTCCACGAAACATTTGGTCCCATAATTTAGTATGCGTCTGCATGTGCATGTCTTTCAACGTATGATATTTTACATGCATTAATACCTTTCTATAATTGATTAAATATTTTGTGAAATGTATTGTTACATATGCTTTATGGAAAGTCACTTTATGGAAAGTAATATGAGTGCATTATTGCATGACCATATAATATTATACGTAATTGTGCTTCATAAAAGTAATTGTGCTTTTTACTTTATGACAAGTAATTTTGGGTTGACCATAGCATTAATGAATTAAATATCTTGCCTTATGGAAGATTACCGTAAGTGGCCTTTTTCCTTTTGAAATAAATATTTCTTACCATACCAATTACATTGCCTTCCATGATTGAATTATTTGTGTGAGATCTTTGCATATAGTAAGTTACACGTAGCATCATTACTTGCATATCTTTAAGTAATCATTGACCACTTTATTGCTCTCTTGCTATAATAAGAGAATAAATTATTCCTTGCCATATTATTGTTGGAACCGTTGCTGCATAAGATACTCTCCCAAGTTGATGTGCTCTTATGTGTTATTTGAAAATCTTGAATATTTTTATTGATATGGTCCGTTGCTTGACTAAAGCATGTTAAGTAAATCAATATTATTTCCTTATATGTTGACTCGTGAATCTTGAGCAAATTTACTCATATTTGAGACCGAATAAAGAGAGCTACTCTAAGGAAAGTAATTCAAAATATCAAGGCAAGTCTCAAGATTAGGAGATCAACTATTCAAGGAGGATTATTCAAACGGTCTGCCCTAAACAAGTCTATATAAACGAAGCAGCCAAAGAGAAATATAGCGTGCTTGACCAGAGAAATATTCAGAGACACACTCGAGAAAAATACGAAGTTCAAGGCACCTGAAACTGCTCACTCGGAGTTCTAGATAGAGTTTCTTCTTTCCCTTCTTCATATTGTAATGGGGTTTTGAGGATTGGCTAAGAGTAGCCTCCTCGGGTTGGTTTGTGTGTGTGAGAGCTTTGTTGTAAAGCTGAGAGGCTCTCTACCCGCAAGGTAGAGATGCATAACTCTTCCTAGAGAGGATAGAGTTGGGGTGGCTCAAGGGTAGACTAGGAGAGTTTCCCTTGTAATCATTCAAAAGGCTTTTTAGTGAAGTTGTTTAAAATTCCTCCGAGGGAGGTCGAGGTTTTTTAATCCCTTTGAGCCAAGGGATTTTTCCTCGTTAAATCCTTGTGCACTTTACTTTTCGCAATTCCCTTTACCCCGCACTAGAACTGGGCGAAAAACTGCCACGGTTCCACACACACACAATTCACCCCCCCTCTTGTGTTGCTAACCGTTTTCATCAATTGGTATCAGAGCCGGTCTTCACCACATAAAGGCTAATACCTTGGGAAGAGATCCGGCAAAATGAATACGGTTGACCGATTGGAAGAAGGGTACTCGACTCAACGACCACCATTGTTCAATGGCAAATACTATCAATTTTGGAAGAGTCGGATGGAAAACTTTATCAAGGCCGATAACTACCAGGTTTGGAATGTAATTGAAAGTGGTGATAATGTCATCACAAAGAGAAACGCCGAAGGTAATGTTGTTCCTAAACCTAAAGTTGAATATACTTCTGAAGATTATGAGAAACTCGAGCATAATGCCCAAGCCCTTAAATATTTAATTTGTGGTCTTGGTCCTGCCGAACACAATCGGGTTCTAGGATGCAAGACTGCAAAACAAA